GCCTCAGAAAGTTATTACTGCATCCAGTTGAAATGAAAACAGGCAGCAACATCAAATGTTTACGTCTGTAAAATATTTGCAGTCTGTTAATATATAGAACATTTAAATATAGAACGTTGAACAATTCCTCTAATCCAAGTGGCTTTCCGTGACTTAGTGTTGAAGTACATTTCTCATCATAACACATCCTATTTTATTTTTACTTGCTTAGTTACCAGAATGACACCCTTGGGAGAATCTGAGCACATTGCTTAAGCTCTTTAAACCCCAGTTTCTTTATTGTAGAACTATGATAACACCAAATTCATACTCTGAAATACTTTTAACAACAGTGCCTCACTGTGTAGGGAAAGTGCTTATGACAGTGGCTTGCACACAAAAGGGATTCGGTAATCAGCGGCTGTTACTAAATCTTGCCCATGGTCTCACCTTGACTTAGCATCTTATGCATCTTCCAAGACTAGTGTCAGTCTCTACAGCATATTCTCTTAAGAACCCTAACAGTGAGGGCTCCCTCCTTTGAACAACGTGCTCATTACACTATTCATTTTTCACTTCTCTTACCTTTCATGCCATGTTAGAGGCAACTTTACTTGCATGTGCTCCCTTTTCTTTTCAACAACGTAAACTGCTTGTATCTTGGCTCTACAGCACATAGTCTGGTGCCTTCAGTGCAGTAGGCACGCCAACCATGCTCATTGGCCAGGTGATTGACTGAAAAGTCAGAATGAAAACTTGCAGTCCCCATATTGCTAGATGAAAGAGATAATGTCTGATCACAAGGGAATTTTTTATCCATTAATTTAAACATCCACTTAGATTAAACATCCATTTAATCGCTTCTTTTACTGTATTGAAGTCATGAAAAACTTACTAATGTCCGTTAAACGTAAGAATTTGAATCTTATTGAAACTAGAACTCCAAAACTTTCATTCCCAATTCATCATTATTTATGAGCTCCCGAATGAAATAAATGCAATAATTTACTCTTCTCTTCGCAGAAAAACTGCATGCAAGTCCACATGTTACAAATCAAAAGGGTGTGAGCCTGTAAATTCCGAAAATCAAGTCAAAGGTATGGGAGGATTTTTACTTGTTGTAGCTCTTTTAAACTCCAGCAATTGCATTAAATAAGTCACTTATATTTGTAAGCTTATGACAGTTCTTAATATTCATATTTCATATTCTTATACTAGTAGAACAAATGTGGTCAAAGTATGAGATTGTTGAAAAGGGAAACCCATCCCTCAATATCTTTTTTACTTAGAAACTATTATTTCCACAGTTTCAATGCTTTGATAGCAGAACTACTTTATTTTAAACCACAAAACTTGGGCAAGTTGATGTTTAAAAGAAGACATTAGTTGCTCCAGGCCTGTACATGCCTAACATTTACATGTTTTAATCCATGTTTCATTTATGCTTTCAAACACCCATTTCTCTGAAAACAGTGGTAAATACAAGAAAGAAAGAGATCCCAGGCCCTGCTAAGCATAGACTTCAAACACAGTATTAATATTTCATTTTGCACAAACTTGCAAACACCATTTTTAAAAAGCTTACCCACCGTCACTAAATACCTTTCAACCTGTTAAGAATGAACACTAAACTCTCATTTGTTTTATTTTAGACTCAAAAGAAGAAGCGGTTATTAAAACAGTGGTCGAGGAGCTAGATCAACTCAGCAATGTCCTTTCACTGAGGGTCCACTCAGTTGAAGAAAAATCCTCTAAAATAAGCAATATTACAATGGAGCAACGCGTACCTTCTAAAACGCCATAATGAGGGGGAAGGGGTTGCTGTTTTCAAAAGCCTGGCTTTGCAAAATCCCACTCGCTAAGTAACCCAAGGAAATCGTTCACTTCTTAACAAATAAAAAGGCTAGACTTTGTTTTTCTTCTCTTCCTTTCTCAAGTTCTTTGCACGTAATCCTCCTTGGGAGTGCATACTATGTAATCCTATCTATATGATATTCTGGAATAGACAAGATTACAGACTTAGTAAACTGATCAACATTTTCATGGTACCAGGGCTGTGGGAGAGGTTGACTACAAAGGGATATGAGATGATTTGGGGGCAGGGTTAATGAATTGTTCTGTATCTTGATTGTAGTGGGGGTTACATGACTATGTGTTTGTTAAAACTCACAGAACTGTATGTTTAAGATGAATTTTACTCTACATATATTAAACCTCAATAAATCCAATGAAAAAGAACTGGCCAAAAAAATTTGAAGGAATCTATCCTAAAGAAAAACATGAATATGTTCAGCATTGTTAATAATAGCAAAAAAAATTGGAAACAAGCTAAAAGTCTCCTAATAATGGTTAAACAATTACTTAAAATCAGGTTTGGCCCAGGGTAACATAACAAGATAACAGGACTTTACACAGATAGAAATTTATTTCTTTCCCACACACAAATCCAGAGGTAAGGTATGGCACCTTTGCACCTGAGAATCCCCAGGAACCCAGCCATAGCACCCATTTCAGCAGGATGGAGGAAAGGGAGAAGATGGGACAAAGACTTGTGTCAGCTGCATCTTAGATGAAGTATCTAGAACACACTAGTACATATACTTCTGCTTACATCTCATTGGCTGCTTAATCACATGACCACAATTAGTTACAAAGAATGTGGAGAAAGTAATCTTTACTGTGGGTAGCTACTGCCCAGTTAAAAATTTTGGGGACCAACCAACAGTTTCCATCTCATTAGACACCTACCAATGCATGCTCTAAGGCAGTGATGGCGAACCTTTTGAGCTCGGCGTGTCAGCATTTTGAAAAACCCTAACTTAACTCTGGTGCCGTGTCACATATAGAAATTTTTTGATATTTGCAACCATAGTAAAACAAAGATTTATATGTTTGATATTTATTTTATATATTTAAATGCCATTTAACAAAGAAAAATCAACCAAAAAAATGAGTTCGCGTGTCACCTCTGACACGCATGTCATAGGTTCACCATCACTGCTCTAAGGCATGTAAGGTAAACAAAGAAAGTTACAGGGCAATACATATAACACAGATGACTCACCTAGGCATGTGTGTCTACATGCTATGTATGTATGCAAATGCATGGAAAACCATCTGGAAGGGTACAAACATCTGGAATGGTGAACTGTGGTTGCCTGAGAGAGTAAAGAAGAGAGCGAAAAAGGAAGGTGAGAAAGGATTTTAACATTTTACTCTATACTCTTTGATCCTGCTTGATTTGTTTACATCAAGAATGTGTTCATGCAGAGAGTAAAATCATGGTTTCCATGTTCATATCAGTATTATTCACAATAGCCAAAAGGTGGATGCAACCCAAGTGCCCACCTACTGTTGAATGGATTAAAAAAAATATGGTATATAAATGCAACGGAATATTATTAAACCTTTAAAAAAACAAAGAAATTCTGGCACATGATTCAACTTTGAAGACATCATGATACAACTTTGAAGCCAGTCACAAAAGGCAAAAAAATGCATTATTCTACTTATCTTGAGTCCCCAGAACATAGTAGATGTTTTATAAATATTTTTTAAATGAATTAATGAATCCATATGTTCACAACAGTGTCACATAAATGTTCATGGAAATTTTGTCCATAAGCCAATTTCCAGATTTTTCAAAAAATTCCATAATGTTTAGGGTTTTCAATAACTATATGGGGATCCACACCCAGTAAATAGTTAATTTACTGATGACTTTCACCTAAGCTAAACCACAATGAAATAAAAACAGATGAAATATTTGCTTCCAGGTTTGCTTCAAATTTTGCTGGGTCAGGAAATAAGTTAATATCCTTCCAAACTCCCACAACTCATAACAGCAATTAGGGGTGTGTTCCAAATTGCCAAAATGGCTAAGAGAAGGCAGCTATACCTAACTATAAGTAAGTGTCAACAAAACATGATGCATGTCAGCCAAAATGGAAGTTACTTCCCATGGGAAACAGTGGCGAGAGGGTATGGGGGCGGGATTGGTATTTAAAGGACCAGGCTGGGTAAATCATGATCCCAGTTCTGTTCCCTACTTAAGTGGAAAGAATTGTAACAATAACATTTTTTATAAAGTCTCAAAGACATCAAAATCTGCCTGGGCATAAATAGCCCAAAACCATGACGCCAGATTGCTATGGTGTGGCGGACTGATGAGTTTTATCTTCTAAGGAGGGAAGTGAAGAATGACTCACTCACAACTTGAAAATGTAATAAGGAACCTGAAATTGCTCCACCCAGACCCATTTCTCAGATAACCACCAACCTGAGGGCAGCTGCCCTCCTACAGAAATGAGCCCAGCGAAGTCAGTTACTAATTAGGAAAAATCATCCAATTACGCTAGCTTGCTGAGGCTGGCAAGCTCCCTTTTACTCTGTGTAGGCAGAATATTGTCCAGAACACACTTGAGAATTGTCTATAAAAAGGCACACAAAACAGTGGAGAGGAGAAGGCACTCCTTTCTGGGACTCGCGAGAACAGCTCTGCAACACGCTTGACCAGACACCATGTCTCTCCGACTTCCCAGTGGCTCCAGGAGGGCCTGTGCCCGTCCCACCACGGGGTCGCTCAGGCTCTCGGGTGGGGGAGCCAGCTTTGGGGCTGGAAATGCTTGCAGCCTGCCTGGAATTGGAAGTGGCTTCTCCTGTGCCTTTGGGGGCAGTGCATTGGGAGGAAATGCAGGCGGGAGCAATTCCTGTGCTGGCTTTACTGTGAATGAGGGGGGCCTCCTCTCTGGGAATGAGAAGGTGACCATGCAGAACCTCAATGATCGCCTGGCCTCCTACCTGGACAACGTGCGAGCTCTGGAGGAGGCCAACGCAGACCTGGAGCAGAAGATCAAGGGCTGGTATGAGAAATTTGGGCCTGGATCTTGCCGTGGTCTGGATCACGACTATAGTAGATACTTCCCTATAATTGATGATCTCAAAAGTCAGGTAAGAAACTACACTCCTCGATCATTTTTATGAACTTTCATTTCTAAAGGCTCTTTTCCTTTCCTCACTGAATTCTAAAAGCATTTATCATCCCTACTTGTCTTTTCCTAAAAGGAATTTCAATTTAGCATTGGAAATAAGCACGAAGTAGGTTCATTTGGTTAACCTCATGATTAAAATGTCACTATCTGGTCACTATATTAATTTTGATTATTTCCATTTTCTAATCTTAAAACATAACCACATTTTTATTGATTGTAATAAATTGCCTTTAAAAAAAATCAAACTCCCCATTTCTAGATCATCGCTTCCACCACCAGCAATTCGAATGCTGTTCTACAGATCGATAATGCCAGGCTGACAGCGGATGACTTCAGACTCAAGTAAGTAGATTCCCAGAGCGAAAGAATCCATGGAGGTTAATGCAAAGCATCAAACTGAATTTATTTTTTGATCCCTCCATTAAATATTAAAATACTGGGATTTAAAGCAAACAGAATGCTATTACTTTTTTATACTTTTGCCACAAGATCTAAAGTATGAACTGCCATAAAAGAAGTGTTCAATGCCCTAGTTCTTTTTCTGTCAAAGAAATGCATCAAAATAAAGAAAAGAATAATTACCATACAGTAGACTTTGAAAATGTCTCTTGTGGCCAAATCTGGCACCTCCAAATTCTATTTGCTCATTGATTGTTGGCTATTTCCCCAACCATGTGACCAATTGGAAAATCATTAACACCCTTTAAGGTATGAAAATGAGCTGGCTCTTCACCAGAGCGTGGAGAGTGATGTCAATGGGTTGCGCAGAGTCCTGGATGAAATAACCCTGTGCCGGACAGACCTGGAGATTCAGTATGAAACCCTGAGTGAGGAGATGACGTACCTCAAAAAGAACCATAAAGAGGTGAGAGCTGACTGTCTGCGCTTTGCTGCCCCTCTGTAGACACTACCTACCTGATAGGAGATCACGTACTTGGCTTCTTAAACAAGAAATTGGTCCTAACAAACCATTATCAGACAGATATGAGGCCTGAGTTGTCTTTAGAAGTGGCCAAGTCTTTGTGCAGATTCACCCTTGCTCTCTCATTGTTTCCCATTGGGGGGAAAAAAGAATCATGTTTTCCAAAACAATCAGGGTTAAAGAGCAGTAGTTGGCTAGATAATTATAGCTATAGATAATTAAAATGGTGCACTTAAAAGATTACATCTAATGAGATAAAAGATGTATACTGTAAGGACTGCCTAAGGAAACTAGATCTAAATTTCTATATAACAGTGGCAGATTTAAAACACTTAAACATTTACTCCATACACACATTAGGTATATATACTTAATATTAATACATATTCTTAATAAGTATGGCTATAGAAATAATGAGACTGGAATTAAATTGTTACATTAAAATTTACACTTCCAAATAAATAGTATATGTCCAAAGTGGTCATCGTGGGAAGCTAGATTCTAAATTAGACCATACAGCCACTACTCCAGACACACCTCTGGGGTTGCTTTCAGAACCACTGTTTCCTGATCATATCTTTATTCTTTGAAAAGGAATTTGATATTTTTAAACAGCCAAAAAACTTCTCAAAGTCAAGCCAAGGGCTTAAAGGAGAAAAGCTAAAAATGCTGCTTGCTTAGTCATGAGGCTGTCTTGTAAATTTAAGTATTTGAAGAATAACATTTGTATAAATATATGGGTTCAAGTATGGCTATAGCCCCCTGGTAGTTACTCAACAAATTTTTGATGAATTGAATGCAATTGATTTCATTTTTTTAAATGACTCACAGACAAACCCCCATGCATCTTTTAATCTTTTTCTGTTTGAACTTACTGGGCAAGATTTCCCTAAATCCTCAGAAGTAAAAACCCCACCTGGAGACAGATAAGGCATGGGACCACCAGGGAGGAACGAATGCTAGAATCACCTGAGGGACTTGGTACAGGGAGGAAAGAAAGCCTTATTAGTGTCATGAGGACCGGTCCAGGGCCTTGGACATGGGTGGGGAGGAGGGTTCCTGCAGCAGAGGCGTAAGCCGCTCCGTGTTGTTTCAGTGGTACAGTCTTAGTGGTGTCTGCCATCCACAATCTTAGAATGACTCACTGCACCCCAACAGCACACACCTCGGATGAAATAATATGCAAAACTGATTCCAACCTCTCTGATGATGATAATGATCATAATGACTAGCATTTACTTAGTATTTACGCGCCAGGTAGTACTGTTGGTCTTATTACTATTTCACATCTTTCAACAACACAGAGAAGGATATTATTTGTTGCCTCAATTTTCAGATAAGAAAATTGGGGTTTGAAGTGAAGCAACCTTCCCAGGTAGCTACTACAGGGCAGAACCAAAATTCACATGGAGATCGGTTTGACACCAAAGTCCATCAAGACACTATAATGGCCTGTGTAAGCTTAATAGCTTAATAGACAACTAGGATCCTTTAGAAGATGATGTTCTTCCTTTACTAATAATAAATAAGTTTATAATTATAAGCAAGTATAAATATATAAACATAAATATGTATTTACTCATAGTTATTTCAACTGTTCAAAATTATCCAGACTCAGCCCCTCCACCATGTTCATGCTGAGTTCAGGATATTGCTGGGTGGAGAACACATCAAAGCTGGTCTCAAAGTGGAATAATGACCAAGTCCACGGAGGTGGAGACATTTAAGCTACAAATGAATAGGAAAAGAGATGATGGATCACTCATTCTATATATTTGTTTAATTTTAAAAAAAAACATATTTTTTTATTGATTTCAGAGAGGGAGAGAGAGATGGAATCATCAATGCTGAGAGAGCATCATTGATTGGCTGCCTCTTGCACGTCCCCTACTGGGGATCAAGCTGTAAACCCAGCCATGTGCCCTGACCAGGAATCCAGCAGTGACCTCCTGGTTCATAGGTCCACATTCAACCACTGAGCCATACCAGCTGGGTTCATTCTGGACATTGTAAGGACTTTCATTTGGAAAAGCAATTAAGACTTTTTTCTGTTCAGCAGAACTATACCTGATTGATGAATTGGAGTTTATGAGCTGGAATTGGGTTCATCATAGAAAAGACCTCTGGAGCAACAAAAACTCCAAGAAAGAAACAGGCTATTTCATGAGGCAGTGAGTTCACTGTTGTTGAAAGTTATGTCCGCTGGACAGGATATATAAAATGTAGAGGGAGCTCATTGCACAGCCTGGGAGATGGAACCAGGTGAATGCTAAGAACCCTTCCAAAGCTAAGCTTCTAGAGCTTCTAGACTTTCTATGAGATCCCTGCTTGCCTGAGCTGCACACTTTTCTGCCTCTAGGAAATGCAAGTTCTGCAGTGCGTCGCTGGGGGCAACGTGAACGTGGAGATGAACGCGGCGCCCGGGGTGGACCTCACGGTTCTGCTGAACAACATGCGGTCTGAGTACGAAGCACTTGCGGAGCAGAACCGCCGGGATGCGGAGGCCTGGTTCAATGAGAAAGTGAGTCTTTGTGAGAAAACAAGCCTGCTGCATTTTGGTGATGCTCACACCTAAGATTTGCTCCCTCACTTATACCTTCCAGAGCGCTTCCCTGCAACAGCAGATCTCTGAGGATGTGGGCGCCACAACCTCCGCCCGGAATGAGCTGACTGAGATGAAGCGCAATCTGCAAACACTGGAAATTGAACTTCAGTCTCTCTTAGCCACGGTAGGAAAGGACAATGTCTTACCATCTCCTAGGTTATCATTTTAATTATGTGCCGGTTGGTTTTAAAGCTCTTAACCATATTGCCTGAACGGTGTGGATCAGTGGTTGAGCATTGATCTATGAACCAGGAGGTCACAGTTCAATTCCCAGTCAGGGCATATGCCTGGGTTGCACACTCAACACCCAGTGTGGGGCATGCAGGAGGCAACCGATCAATGATTTTCTCTCATCATTGATATTTCTATCTCTCTCCCCCTCTCCCTTCCTGAGATCAATAAGATTTTTTAAAATCTCTTAACCATGTTGAGAATATCTATATATATAAAAGCCTAATATGCAAATTGTCCCCTTGGGAGTTTGACCAGGAGACTGATCGCTCCCTATGATATGCGCTGACCACCAGGGGTTGGCGCAGAAAGAAGGGAGGCCCTGATCAGTCCTGATGGCCAGCCAGCCCTAGGGACCCTACCCGTGCACAAATTTCATGCACTGGGCCTCTAGTATGCATATATTATTTTATGTAATTAACTTAAAACATTAAGAGAGAATAGGAGATAATAGGATTGTATCTAGAACAGCTAAAACAGCAACATCAATGACTTTAGACTTGTTCTACCAAAAAGAAAGACTTGCTCATTTTAAGAGTGTCACAGAGTCTTCTTAACCATGTGTCCACAGGAAATCTACAAGAGCAGAGCTAACAAGAGGAGAAAGTCATATGTCAAAGCAAGTTTGTATATGTGTGTATCCGTCTCAGTTTTTTCATTGTTTCCTTACAGAAACAGTCCCTGGAGTGCTCTTTGACGGAGACAGAAAGCAACTACTGTGTGCAGCTGGCCCAGATCCAGGCTCAGATCGGGGCCCTGGAGGAGCAGCTACACCAAGTCAGAACCGAGACCGAGGGCCAGAAGCTCGAGTACGAGCAGCTGCTGGACATCAAGGTCCTCCTGGAAAAAGAGATTGAGACCTACTGCCTCCTCATAGGCGGAGATGACGGGTAGGTAAAATAGTTTACAGAGAAGTAATATACTGAAATCTGCATGAAACTTAGATCTCTGGGAACTGATATGACCACATTTATTATCATGTCGCTAAATATTAAACATGATACTCTACTGCCAAGGTACAAATTAGCCACATCTTACAAAACCAAAATGCAATAAGCCCTGTACTTACGGTATGAAAATGTAAGACTCACCTCTTGATGCTAAAGCGGATGTAACCCACTGAAATGTGCTCACCAGACAGCTAAATAAAACATAATAGTGAATTTAGAACTGAAGGGCTCTCTCCAACTCGTGTTTTTGTAATGTTTTCAATAATATGTGTTTACAGGGCTTGCAAATCTGGAGGTTACAAGACTAAAGATTATGGGTCTGGAAACATGGGAAGTCAAGTCAAAGGTAATTGAGTAAATTCTATTTTTATGCTATACTACTTCATTTTCAATGCACAGCTTGATTGCTTTTATATTCCCAGAATATATATTATATATTATATGTAAGAGTAGATAAAGATTTGTAGTAGACATCAGTGAGTGCTAGATGTCTGTCTTTAGAGATGTATGCTAATTTTATTTATTTTATTTTTTTAATATTTTAAATTTTTTCCTTTTTTATATTAATTTTAAACAAAGTAACATATTTTTAGTTAATCAAATTTCACCAAAAAATGAGTCCAAGTATTTGTGCTTATTGCATAGTTCACCTATATAAAAATCCTATTATTCCTTAATTGATATACTTTCTTACTCATTTTTTAAGTTTATTGAATTAAAATATACTAAACATAAAATTTAGTATTTTTACCATTTTTTTGTGTGTACAGTTCAGTGGCATTATGTACATTCATATTCTTGTGCAACCATCACCACCATCTATCTCTAGAACTCTTTTCATCTTCTAACACTGAAACTCTATACCCATTAAACAATAACTCTCCATTCCCCATCCCCAGCCACTGGCAACCACCATTCTACTTTCTGTATGAATTTCACTACTCTAGGTACCTCATATAAGCAGAATCATATAGCACTTGCCTTTTTGTGACTGAGTTATTTCACTTAGCATAATATCCTCAGGATTTGTCCATATTGTAGCATGTCAGAATTTCCTTCCTTTTTATTTTTTTTTTCATTTTTTATTTTTTCTTGATTTCAGAGAGGAAGAGATAAGGAGAGAGAGATAGAAACTACAATGATGAGAGAGAATCATTGATTGGCTGCCTCCTGCACACCCCCAATTGGGGATTGAGCCTGCAACCCAGGCATGTGCCCTGACTGGGGAATCGAACCGTGACCTCCTGGTTCATAGGTCGATACTCAACCACTGTGCCATGCTGGCCAGGCGGATTTCCTTCCTTTTTAGTGCTGAGTCATATTCCCTTGTATGTTTTTACCATATTTTTTTATCCATTCACCCATTGATGAATTCTTGGGTTGCTTCCACATTTTAGCTATTGTGATCTTATTCATCTTTTCTCACTCTCTAAAATCTCCTTTTAAAATTTAATTTCTAGATCCAGCCAAAGCCATAGTGGTTAAGAAAGTTCTGGAGGAGGTAGACCAACGCAGCAAAATACTGAGCACCAGGCTCCACTCCCTGGAAGAGAAATCTCAAAGTAATTAATTTGAGACACAAGAGCTAGCATATGCCAAATGCTTTCCGAGAAGAAGAGGCATTATATGTATCTGCCAAGAAAAATGAGCAAGTCTAAAAGAAGTCTGTCCCTTTGTCTTTCTGTTACTGAAATATCACCTCTAGCCATCAATAGTTGTATCTCCCATTCATCTGCAAGAACGTCACATACAAATGTGATGACTCATTTGAATACCTTGTAGAAAATGTTGCCAATTCTTTGTGTTCAATAAACCTTCCTTCAGCAAGTTATCACTGATGCTATTGTCTTATATTTAAAATGTCCGTGTCTGTGGCCTAGATCTATGAACACTTAACAGCTTTTCATTTATATAAAAACTTTTTTTAAATTAACATATTTTCATGAGGCTTTCCCAACAATTCAAAATGAGACAAATTCAGAATGAATAAAAATACTTTCACTTAAATCCCCAATTTGCCATATTCTGACATAATAACAAGTCTATTCCCTTTCATAATAGCTAAAATGTACACATTTCAGGTTCATATGTAAAATGGGGATAATAATACTTCTCTCAAATGGTTATTATAAAGATTAAACAAATTATTCTAAAGTGTATTTATTGAATAAGCACTCAGTAAATGCTAATTTACTTTTAAATACTTGATATTTATAAGGGTTAATTCTCAAATATCATTTCCTTTTTAATATATATTTAAATAATGTTCCAAATATAAGAAAGATTAAAGCAAAAGTTCTGGTTTAGAATTCAAGCTCTATTAATGGAGTCACATAATTTCCTCAAATCAAATATTACTGCTAGAGACTTAGTTGCCCTCTCAATCCTCTATGGATGGATTATCCATATTGTAATCCATCCATGAAAATTTGATTTCAAGCTCCATCTGAAAATATTAAGCAGAAAAGACAACTGGAGTTTTTTAAGGGCACTAATTATTCTTGAATTACTTTTATTGTCTATTTCTAATGCAATCTTAGCCAGAGGCCACTAGAGTCAAAATATCTAATATGTCCCCCATCAGATTATGTGAAACAAAAACATTACAATCTTAGAGAAAATTCATGAGTTCTCAGAAATGCAGCTTTCTCGATAAATGTGAGCATAATAGACATTCCTTCACAAATAGAAAATACTTTTTTCTTTCATGCCATTCGGGCTCTGTGCCACTGTTCTCATTCATTTAATAACAATCAATAATTTTCTCAGGCCCAACCAGTGTGGTTCAGTGGTTGAGCATCAACCTATGAACCAGGAGATCAGAGTTCGATTCCAGGTCAAGGCATGTGCCCGGGTTGTGAGCTCAATCCCCAGTGGGGGGTGTGCAGGAGGCAGCCGATCAATGATTCTCTCTCGTCATTGATTTTTCTCTCTCTCTTTCCCTTTCCCTTCCTCTCTGAAATCAATAAAGATAGATTTAAAAAAAAAAAGAATTTTCTAGTAATAAGACTCTATTTACTTACTTTTATTTACTACTTAATTTTGAAAGCATTTTTGAAATGTAATGATAATTGTGTTATAGAAGAAGACAACTTTGGGGGGACATTTTCAGAGCTTCAGTTCATACACTGTAACCAGTGTGTCAACACTGCTCCCTAATGAAATGACATCTTCCTTCTGCCACTGTTGCTGCCATCAGTGCTCATTCTTGGTTCACTGAAGAGTTTACTCACAGCAACTATGAGAATTTTCAGGTATTTACGTGGCTGTCTTACCAGATACAGTCTTACTCTATGAGGAAACCAAATTTTATCGAATGTAGCTGTCCTTTCCTAGGCTTAAAGTCATATTCACACAGACCTGCAGAGGCAATACGATTGCCCAAATGGTGGATCCATATTCAGTTATAGGAATAATCCAAGAGGAAGGAGGGAGACAGTGTTGAAACTGATGTGTAATAGTCTTCACCTAATTTGAATAATTTCCTTGGGTTTTGGGCTGGAAGGACAGTCTCTAGTTGTCTGGTACCTGGCCCTGGGATGATTTAAGGCAGGGGAAGTATTGGCTTGATGTGTGAGAGTTAGTTTAATTTTTATCTGTTCCTATAAATTAGGCAAAGGAATGGAACAAGATTCTAGTATTAGCATAATTACTGGAAGGAATGCTGCCCCACCTACTGACCCGTCTCAGCATTTGAATGCTGATAAATATAACATGAAATTATTGTCAAGTAAGTCTATAAGGACGCAAAAGAACAGTTCAATTATTAACATGGCTAGTGAAATATACATTAGGAAATAAAATGGGAGCATATTTCAGAGCTCTGTCCCACCATGATGCTACAGGCCAGAGTGAGTCATGGCCAGCTCAGTTCTCCACGGAAGCAGTTGACCAAGCCAGAGATGAGATCACAAAACTGAAATGCAGTCTTCACAACCATGACATTTAACTACAATCCTTAATTGCTAAGGTTTGTGAGAGCAGCTAATTATAGTCTTAAACTTAAATCCAAGAGATATAAATAGTGTCCTACCAGGTGGCTCAGTTTGTTGGAGACTCGTCCCATACACCAAAAAGGTTGGGGGTTCAGGGCACAAACCTAGGTTGCAGGTTCGACCCCCAGCGGGATAAGTACCGAAGGCAACAGATCTCTCTCTCTCTCTCTCTCTCTCTCTCTCTCTCTCTCTCTCTCTCTCTCTTTTCTTCTCTCTCTTTTTCTCATCAATGAAAAACATATCCCCAGATGAGGATTTTAAAAATAGATATAGATAGGGTCTACATATTTTTATAAATAATTATATATAAATTTTTCAAAAATAAAATCCCTTAGTAAAGATACCAAGGACATCAGATATACATTTTTTAAAATGGTGAAGACTATACAGCACTTGAATCAGATGAAATTAGGCTGATCTTCCAATTCAGCACCAGGTGGTCTTATGGAATAAACAACACTGTACAAATGCCAAAAAAAATGATCAAGCCATGTGTTTGAATATAGAATCACAATTTACAAAGCACTTATAATCCTGTGCACTAAGTAGGACAGGAATTATTATCCTTAATTTTACAGGTTAGAAAACTATGGCTCTAAAATTCTCCCTTGAAATAAAGGCAGAGGAACAAGGACAGTGACAGATAATGGCCAAGTGATTTCATCTCAAGTCAACAATGTTTCTGACATAAAATTCAAATAAAAACAAGAAAGCAAGATGTAGGCACCTGTGCTCTAGCCCCAAGAAGGAAATGATGAGTCTGAATAAGTGTAACAATCTAACAAGCCTGAGGATCCGGAGCTTCAACTATTGCTATAATTGTTTCTTATATTCCACAGAGATTGCAGAAATATAAGAAAGCAAACCTTTGTAGACTTTTTTAAAAAGAAGAAGAAAATATTTATATACTTAGGGAATGATGAAGCCTTTTAAAATCAAACAAAAGTTGAAGGCATGAAGGTAAAGCTGTATCTCTAGGAAGAAAATAATACACAGTAAAAAGCAAAACAAAATTAAAAGAAACCCTTTTAAACCTTGATAAAATATGCTAAAAATCTATTCCAACACCGAGGGGAAATCTGTGCAGCTAGCCAGCCAAGTCACTCCAGTTTTCTGATGCACAATTTCAACCTGTCCTAGCTGCAGTTTGGCGCCACCTGCTGGCCGCTGTCTTCCCTGTGTAAAATCAAGAGAGGATTCTGGGAAGAGCCGACTTCCAAGAAAGCCGCAGTTGCAGGAATCTGCAGCTTGTTTAGTTGCCTGACTCATCTTCAGCCTCCTATTTCCCAAACTTCCCTTCCCAGACCACCCCTCCCACCCTGCCTGTCCACCTGCCATATCTCCCCTAGACACCCCAGAAGATATGCACTTTAGCCCACCTTCTTTGGGGCTGGACACAGGCTGTGAGCTAACAGCTCACATTTATATGTCTGGGTTTTATATGTCTGTGGGTTCTGTGAATAGGAAGCTATTGTCTATTTGGTATGAGGCAAGGTCCCAAGGACCTGTCAAGTAAACATAATCAATAAACTCTGTGCTTACTTCAATCTACATTGACTCTGGACTCTGAAGGACAGAAGTACCTCTACCCTACAAAGTCACACACCCATTCTCTTAACTCTCCATAAACCGACTAAACAGTCTTCAGGAAAAGTAAAAAAAATAAAAATAAAAAAGAGCTGTTTAAAGAGATTCCAGAGCAGCGGTTCTCAACCTGTGGGTCGCGACCCCTTTGGGGGTCGAATGACCCTTTCACAGGGGACGCCTAAGACCATTGGAAAACACATATATAATTACATATTGTTTTGTGATTAATCACTATGCTTTAATTATGTTCAATTTGTAACAATGAAAATACATCCTGCATATCAGATATTTACATTACGATTCATAACAGTAGCAAAATTACAGTTGTGAAGTAGCAACAAAAATAATTTTATGGTTGGGGGTCACCACAACATGAGGAACTGTATTAAAGGGTCGCGGCATTAGGAAGGTTGAGAACCACTGTTCTTGAGCATTCAAACTCGACAAGTACAAAGCTAAGTCATTTTCTCCCAGAATAAAAGTTGGCAAAATGGCGTGATCGAGCAGATGCTGGTGGAGAAAAGGAAGCCTTCAAACAGATAGGCTTCACTGAAACTAAAAAGAGAAAGACTGGAAAAGAATGATGGGGAAAGAAGATAGGAAAGATGAAGGAAGAGAAACAGTCACAGAATTTGGTGCATTTCAGCTCTATTTTTGTAGATACTTTGTAACTCCTTTGGTGTCTGGCAATAGCACAGGACTGACATCGATTTATGGATGGTGTCAGATCCACTGGGAGTGGCTTCTCAGGACACATATTCTGCAAAATCTTTTTTCCCTTCCAGGTAGTTGAGCCTGGTGAGGCTCACAGTGGCCACCATCATGATACTGACCTAAATAATAATTCTCTGCAGCGAAGTCCCCACATGATTCTGGCATGACCTTCCCTGCCCCCTCTGCAAACAACACCTCCTTTTACTAACAAACCCTCCAACACACACACACACACACACACACACACACACACACACACACACACACCACAAACCCAGAGGTGGAGAATACAGATTTAAAAGACAGATCACAAAATAAAGGACAGAAGCAATCAGTGACCCAAGCTGTTCATGAAGCAAGTCAAGCTGTGTTGTTTTTTGTTAATTCAGGGCTCTTTATTATCTCTCTACAACATGTTAGGTATTAAAAGAGGCTGTGCACACATCAAATTGGAGCTTTTCCTTTTGCCATTCCATCTGCCAACACTCAACAAATACTCTATGCCCAGTTACTTCCCTTAACTATTCTGGTCCTA